GGGCAATGCAAAGAAAAACAGACCACACAGGAGATAGAATTAAAGACATTTAATTTATACTGTTGCAAAAAGTGGCAAGTCATAGAAATTGCATATAATTGATTATAATTACTCAAAGAATGGAACAATTACAAACTTCTGCATGTAAAATAGGGCAGTATTGCAAGTCTATCTGTACAACTATTCACAATAACCATACTGGTGACAAAGTCTTGTGTCAAACCATGTCTGCTGTCACAAAATATGATTTGAGAACACCTGCAACTTTACATGATTCACCACCAACTTGGTTTGGCATTTAAAAATTAATGAGATGTAACTTGTGACCTCAAGTCGGTTGCACACACACACACCTCAGCAATTTAACTCTTGCCCTATACGAACTATACAGTATCCCAAAACATGCAGAAAAGAAAACTTACACCAGTCACTCAAAAGTATCCCATAACCCTTCTGTACAGATTTACAATCGTTTCGTTTTATCTTTAACTCTTAATTCGGTTACACCAATTTGGGCAGCTGCCACTCAAGCAAATAAAATCACAAAAAATTATATTCTTTGAATCTAATGTTGGTCCATACTGTACTGAAAAAGGTATGTGGTTCAAGTACGGTCTATTGCATATATATATAAAGATTACTACTAAATTGTTGAGATGCGAGATCATTGGCTGTATTATCATCTTAGGTTTGAAAATAATACAGTCCATGACAACACTGGTTCCAATAAGTTTTTTTTTTTATTTATAAGCACGATTCTAAAAAGTTAAACCTAACATGAGATGTCAGTGGTTCACACTTGCAGTTAGGACTGCTATACTTTTATGAGGAATTAAAGAATTAGTAGACCAATGATGTAAACATCAAATCAGTTGGGTTTTTTGTAGGGGTAATTAAAATTTGAAATATCTGGCATAAAAAAAAACTTCAATAAATATTTGTTCAAAGGGGCATAAGCTGAGTCTTTTTTAACAAATAATTTCCAATTTTTTTTTATCCATGAAATAGCGAACTAAAATGGCAAGTATGAAATATATTTACAATATTATAACATCACGCAAAAAAAATTTGAAAAATGAATTGATATTTTCCAGCTGTCATGTTAGCATAAAAACACCCTAATATGTTACTCCATTTGAGTTTCCTTGGTTACCACAAATTCATTTACAAACAGTATTACATGGATTTAAAAAATATGAAAAAAAATTGCACAAAAAAAAAAACCTAGTTCATGCCTCTTTAAAATAAGTTCTCGCAAAAAAAAAACAAAAAAACTTTAAAATACTAGTATAAATATATTGGAATGTTTGCCCAGATTTCATTATAGTTGTCAGAAAGGAGAGAACAGCTGCAACAATATGCAATTTATTTCATCTAAAACTTTTTTTTAAAATTTTTTTAAAAGAAAAGTCAAAATTCATTGGTTTGACGCTTGCAACTGCCCAATATGGTTAAAACACGAATCTTGTTATAATAATACAAAAACCAAGAAATTTAGTTTCTTTGCCCTTTCAATTATACATCTATATACAAAAATGATTTTTGTACAAACAACTCTGTTAACAATATTAAAAAACAAAAACTTTTTCTTCTTCAGCATTTTTTTTGTTCCAAAATAAAATTTACAAAAAAAAAGATTGTTTTTTTTTTTTACATAGCAGAAAATAACTGTTATAAAGTTATAATTATCATTATATATTAAACTGTGATTTCATCTTGCTACAGGAATTAAGATAAATGTGAATAAATGTTAAAAACACACAAATTCTTGAAATATGTGAAAACGTACAGAAACACTCAAGGCATATCCTGAATGTTACAATCTCGCACCCCAAGAGGGCGTCATCATGGCTAGGATTATTTTTCAGTTCATAATTACCAAAGACAATGAGATATGGAAACATAACGGCATTGATTTGTCTACAAAGTCGTTTATATTTTTCTTACCTTATTAATTAAATCACAATGACTTGTATTCGTCAATTCTGGAAGACTAACCTTGTTGTTTTATACCACACGCATGACAAAACACAATATACTATGCTACACTATACAGTACTGTATAAATACAGCACTTGTACGATACTACATTATTAAATAATACTGCACTACACAACAATGCATTTTAAAATTAAACACTGTACACAATACAGCACTGTGGAATAATAGTGTGTAATACAGCACTGTGCTATACTGCATTATGTAATACAGCACTGTGCAATACTGCATTATGTAATACAGCACTGTGCTATACTGCATTATGTAATACAGCACTGTGCAATACTGCATTATGTAATACAGCACTGTGCTATACTGCATTATGTAATACAGCACTGTGCTATACTGCATTATGTAATACAGCACTGTGCAATACTGCATTATGTAATACAGCACTGTGCTATACTGCATTATGTAATACAGCACTGTGCTATACTGCATTATGTAATACAGCACTGTGCAATACTGCATTATGTAATACAGCACTGTGCAATACTGCATTATGTAATACAGCACTGTGCTATACTGCATTATGTAATACAGCACTGTGCAATACTGCATTATGTAATACAGCACTGTGCTATACTGCATTATGTAATACAGCACTGTGCAATACTGCATTATGTAAT